GTGGTATGATCATAGCTCACTGCAGCCTCAACCTCCTGGGCTCAAGCAGTCCTCCCACCTCAGCCTCTCAAGTAGATGGGACCACAGGCACAGACCACCAAACCTGGCTAATAAAAAAATTATTTTTGTAGACATGGGGTTTCACTGTGTTTCCCAGGCTGGTCTCAAACTCCTGAATTCAAGTGATCCTCCCACCTCAGCCTCCTGAGTGGCTGGGACTACATACATGTGCCACCAAACCTGCTAATTTTTTTTTTCTTGGATAGAGACAAGATTTTGCCATATTGCCTAGGCTCATCTCAAACTAGCCACTCACCTTGGCCTCCCAAAGTGCTGGGATTACAGATGTAAGCCACTAAGCCTGGCCAAAAATCATTCTTTACTTCATTCAAGAACTTTGAAAACTTACCTTTTCTTAAGTTATTTAAGGATGCTCTAGTTAAGTGAGGACATATGCCAAGAAGGAGACAGTGAGGTCCAGGGAACAGCGGGTGTTACCCAAGAATGCAGTGGAGGAGACTCTTAGAGTGACGAGTCCACACCGAACAGGAGAGGGAACGTCTGTGTTTAAAGGGAACTCGGTAGATTGCCTTCATGTGGATAAAAGAGAACAGTACAAAAGGCTGTAAACAGAGTGCAGCGGTTTTCGCCACTCTCACACCAGAGGCATGCTCTTCTCTATTTAGCCCTTTGTGCTAATATTTAACTCTGTGTCTTAACAATATGTGTCTATTGCTAATTCTGCATTTACCAATCGTAGACATTACCTATTGACCTCCCGCTGTGACAGATGAGCTTTTTAACTCATGCGTCTTCACACATCCTTCTCAAAATATAGTCCAAACAGTATGTGTAGGCCTTTTGTTGTCTACCATTATAACTCTAAGGTATATACATGAGCATGCACACACACACACACACACTTCTTTATTTCTTGTGCTACTGGAATCAGTAGCTTTTCTCTCCCTATTGTGTAATGGGAAGCCACCCTTACCCTCAGTTCTCTTCTGCTCTTCCACCTCACTCCGTCTTCTGTAGTTTTATATCGCTGAGGTTAAAAACATTTACGTGGCCGGGTGTGGTGGCTCAAGCCTGTAATCCCAGCACTTTGGGAGGCCGAGACGGGCGGATCATGAGGTCAGGAGATCAAGACCATCCTGGCTAACACGGTGAAACCCCAGCTCTACTAAAAAAATACAAAAAACTAGCCGGGCGAGGTGGCGGGTGCCTGTAGTCCGAGCTACTCGGGAGGCTGAGGCAGGAGAATGGCATAAACCCGGGAGGTGGAGCTTGCAGTGATCCGGCCACTGCACTCCAGCCTGGGCCACAGAGCGAGACTCTGTCTCAAAAAAAACAAAAACAAAAACAAAAAAAAATAAAAATAAACCCCAAACATTTACGTTCTGTTTCCTCGGCAGAATTACATCTGGCATTTTAGACTATAGATTAATTCTAAAGTTGAAAAAAAATACAGTGTTTATATTATATTTACTATGTCAAGATTATCATCTACTGCACAGCTAGACAGTATAGAGAGATTATATTTCTTTCTTCTACAGATTTTTTTTCCCCTGGGATTTCTAATTGCCTTTCCTTTTAAAAAAATGTATTTGCATATGTGTGTGTGTGTGTGTGTGTGTGTGTGTGTGTGTGTGTGTATTTTTGTAGACATGGGGTTTCACTATGTGTATCTTTTAAAAATATATACATATATATCTATGTATCTCTATAGCTATCTTTATATCACTTAAAAATATATATCTATATGTCTTTTAAAAATATTTACATATATTCATATATATATAAAACACAGGTAAATAACAGAAGAAGTAAAAATCCTGTTTGAGATCATCGTAAAGTGGTGTGAGCTAAAAGTTCATCTGTTGTAGCAGAAAGTCAATAGATAATGTCTCAGATTGGCTGAAAACAAGACATAGCAATAGATGCCTATAGTTTAAAGACATGGAACTCAAAACTAAGATAAAACACTAACAGATTTAGGGGAGACTGCCTTAGCGGGAGGGGGTATGGTTTTGTTTCATTTTAAGCCTCTCTGTACTGTTCTTTTTAATTTATGTGCACATACGAATTTGATTGAAATTTAAAACAATTTTTTGTAAAGGAAGAAAATATACCAGGATCATGTATTATAATGAGCACTCTCCTTGCTATTGGAATATCTGGATTCTGGTCACTTACGTAATATTCTACTGAAATGTTTTTGTGCAGTTTCAGTAGAAAATGCATAACTTTGCCATCAGAAGACCTACATAACCTTGACCTTGCTGTGGTAGTGATCTTGTGTGTGTATTACCATTGCTTTTTATTTATTTATTTGTTGTTATTATTATTATTATTTTGAGATGGAGTCTTGCTCTGTCGCCCAGGCTGGAGTGCAGTGGTACGATCTCAGCTCACTGCAACCTCCGCCTCCCAGGTTCCAGCGATTCTCCTGCCTCAGTCTCCGAAGTAGCTGGGACTACAGGCGTGGGCCACCATGCCCGACTAATTTGTTTTTTGTATTTTTAGTAGAGACAGGGTTTCACCGTGTTGGCCAAGATGGTCTCGATCTCCTGACCTCCTGATCCGCCTGCCTCAGCCTCCCAAAGTGCTGGGATGACAGGCGTGGGCCACCATGCCCGGCCACCACTGCTTTTTTTAAGGCTCTAGGTGAATCAACACGAGGGACAGCTTCCTCTTCCTGTGGTGGGGCTGAACCCTGTGATGGAGGGGCGTGTGTGGTGCCTGTGGCGCTTGGCCCTGTGGGGCTGTGAACTCAGCCTTGGGGCTCATTTGTCCATAGCACAGCCCCTTGGGGTCTGCCAGGAGCTGAGCCCCCACCAGTCTGGGGAGAAGGGAGTCAGTGGCCCAGGGACCGTCCTCCTCAGGCGTCATCCCCAGCCCTGAGCTCAGACTTCCTCATCTGCCACCATGCCTGAGGAGTGATTAATGCCAAATTAGCACCCTGCTCAGTGACCTTTCGGCATTAGCCACGGCCTCCCTTCACTTCTCATAACTATTTGCAAATATTAGCTTCTCCGGTCGTTTCTCATCAGCGACTTTCACAGGTGACAGGCAGGCCGTTAGTCTGATTGGCATTCCGTTCATGTCCTTTGCCCCATCGTGAGTGCATCTGGACTCCGCCATCTCCTCAGAAATCTGATAACCAGCCCAAGAATCTCGGCAATTTTACAAAGGGAAGGCACCAGCAGGAAGGTGTCCGGAGAAGCTTCGAGGGTCCGCTACAGAGTTGGAGAGTCTCGAGACAGGGAAGGCTGCCTCAGCCCCCCAGGGACCCAGGGCTGAGTGAGAGTCAGCCTCATATGCCATCAACATAGAGGTTTTAAAACATTAATTAGTTGACTCTGTCTGCATCAAGCTTCTGTGTTTCTTTGAGGATTCACATGCACCTTTAATACAAAAATCACACACTGCTTAGGCAGTGCAAGCCAGAGCACAGAACTGTGGGAAATCAGTGTTGATGAGAAGTCAGTCCTCTCTCTCCCGTTGTTCTCTCTCAGTGGCCCTCACCCCACCGCCGGCCCGGCAGGCTAGAACCTTTCAGTTGCCAGAATCTTCCTCCGCGGCTCACAATGGTGGCGACTCCCTTCAGCATGAAGCCCAGATGAAGCATTTTGGATTTGCAGTCATTTCCCTTTATTTTTATTTCCAGCCTCTTACATCTCCGCCCTTTATTGAAATCCCTGTTCTAGAAATGTTGGATTGGTCTTCATTTTCCCTAAATAAACAGTAGTAAAGTGTACTGCGGGTAGTTTAATTTTGATGTTAAATGTATTTTAGAGAAAAGCGACCAAAAGTATGTCCTATTTTTTTCTCCCTTGTCACCAGAAGTATGAGCTAAATTATTTATAGTTTGATACTCAAAAAACATAGATTCAGGATATTTACTTTTCAGAAAGGAAAAAGGGATTAAAACTCCAGTAACGGGACTGAACACTTTGTTAATTGAATATATTGGCTCCAAGGAAGCACATTTGGACAGGACTAAGAATGCCCACTGCTTTCCAATGACACCCGTACCTAACATAGTGGCTGATACACGAAATATTTGTGGAATTGAACAGATTTGGAAATAGCAGGTAGACTAGGTAACTCAGTAAGCAAAGTCTTAAATCAATAAAAGAAAAATAAAGCCAGCAAGCATTTTGGAAAATGCCAAACAGTTTAAATAAAGCCCCTTAGCCACACGACACACGAAGCAGTAGCGTAAGGCCCAGTAACCATGCCCTGTAGGACAGGCTGTGGATTGTGCCTGAGGACACTGGCTGTGCTTGGACCCCAGCTCATGTGGTCTGAGAAAGGCCAGGGACGGTGACCCCGCCCCAGAGCTTCTCATGGGGGTTCACGTAGGGCCGTGAGATTTGGGTTTCCTATTAACATGGCTCTGACCATGGTCTTCATTTGTCATGCTCCGATCATCCCATCTTCTAGCTGTCATTTCACTTTCTGTGGTTTCCATTACCCTCAGTCAACCATGGTCCGAAAACAGGAGAGTACAGCACAGTAAGATATTTTGAGAGAGAGGGAGGGACCACATTCGCGTAACTTTCATTACCTTATGTTGTCATTGTTCTGTTCATTATTAGTTGTAGTCAGTCCTTAGTGTGCCTCATTTACACATTTATGACAGGTATGTATGCAGAGGGAGGAACTTGGAACAGACGCCCTTCCACGCACGGTGCGGTTATGTTCCCATAAATCCATCGGAAGTTGAAAATATCGGAAGTCATAAATGGGCTTTTGTAGCTCCGTTGTTAAGTCGAGGACTGGACTGAATGTGTGTGGCCTTTGTGCCATCATAAAGTTGAAAAATCCTGTGTGGAGCCATCATGCATCAGGGACATTTTGTGTCTAGGGATTGGTTCTTTCTTTGGTTTGAGGTATCCCCAGGGGTGTTGGAATGTATCCCCCTCAGATAAGGGTTGGGGGGAGCTCCTGTACTTAGAGTTTCATGGACATTTCTCTTTTCTCTGCCACAGGAGATATTGGCACACCTGAAACCACGGCCCCCACCATTGTGGTTCCCCCGGGCAACAGAAGTGTGGTGGCTGGATCCAGTGAGACCACCTTGGAATGTATAGCCAGTGCCAGGTACGAGGCGCGTCTCCTGTGAAACTCCCAGTAAATATTACATGACCTGTAACAAGCCGACCACAGAAGGAGACACTGGAGCATGAGGTTCAACATTCTAGCAACAGTGGTCTTGTTTGGCCAGATGGGCCAGGAATACGAGGTATGGGTAGATAAGGAAATGGACACATTGACATCTTCCAGAGTCCCCCACTGAAACAGGGCGGTGCTTTCAGTGTAGCTCTGGGTGGTAGTGGGGGGCTCCTCTGAGACACTCTCTAGGGAAGAGGGAGGAGTTGAGGCAGAGGAAAAAGTTCATTGCTCTTCTCTGTAGTCAGCCAAGGTGTTCTCTGCCTCCTTAGCGGTCGCTCCAGAATCAAGCTCGGATGATCCCGCCTTCCATGTCGTTGTGTCCCCTCGTAGTATTTATTTTAAATGTTCATTTCCTGAGCAAACGGGATCATTAGCACTTATGGTCCATTGCTGCGGCAATTAGCTACCCTTGCTCAATAGCCCTTGAGCAGAATGCATCGTCGATGCGTGCTGGGAGGGAGTAGAGTTGTATCTGGATTGATTTTTCAGTGTCCATTGTTCAACCTGCCATGTACCCTGGTAGAATTAGCTTCATCAAGCCTGTGCCGCATGCCTGAGATGATGACCATGGCCACCTCCATGAGTCACAGTCATTGTCATGAACGCCTTTCGTTCCCACAGGCCTGTGGAGGACCTGAGTGTGACCTGGAAGAGGAATGGAGTGAGAATCACCAGTGGCCTCCATAGCTTTGGAAGACGTCTCACCATCAGCAACCCGACGTCCGCAGACACCGGACTGTATGTCTGCGAGGCGGCGCTGCTGGGGAGCGCTTTTGAACCGGCCAGGGCGAAGGCCTTTCTTTTCATCACAGGTAAAGCCCGAGCCTCTAAGTGGTGTTGTCAGCATCTCACATAGCATCCGGCACTGACTCTTCTGCAGAAACAAAACAGCGTATTTCAGTGGCTTTATTTATCAGCCAGTGAAGGTGAGGTTGAGTTTATCTTCCAAATCCTTCCTAGTCTTTCCCAAGAATGTAAGTCCGTTAAATCCGAAGTGTTGATATTCTGAATCCTTCCAGGAAACGTCCTTCTGAATACTCTAGTCACAAAGCTTGGAAACAGAGCGGTGAAACCCCTGTCGTAGAGATCCCTCTCCTATTCTAGCTTTTAGGCCGCTAAGCTTTTCTATAGCTCTCTTACTTGGCTATCGTCATCAGTGTTCAGAAATTATTCTATTATTGCTGTCTGGGCGTGGTGGCTCACACCTGTAATCCCAACACTTTGGGAGGCCAAGGTGGGCGGATCACTTGAGGCCAGAAGTTTGAGACCAGCCTGACCAACATGGTGAAACCCCATCTCTACTAAAAATACAAACATTAGCCAGGCATGGTGGCGGGCACCTGTAATCCCGGCTCCTCGGGAGGCTGAGGCAGGAGAATCACTTGAACCCGGGAGGCGGAGGTTGCAGTGAGCCAAGATCGCACCACTGCACCCCAATCTGGGCCACAAGAGCAAAACCCCATCTCAAGAAAAAAAGGAAATTATTATTTTAGAAATTATTCTATTAATTATTAATTTAGCTGTTATTTTTTGACCTAGGAGACAAGGTAAAACTATTGGATGTTACCTTTTGTTAAACTTAAAAAAATAAATGAAAAGAGAACAGAGATGCTTCCTCAAACTGGGCAACATATTATTCCTGAACCAAGGAGAAAGAGGACATAAAATTAAGTACAATGGAGTTGCCCAGCTCTACATGCTGGAAAATATTAGTGTTTAGGGACTGTGCCTTGTACAGTGGCTAAGAAAATACTAAACTTATTATCAGTTTATGATGAGGTTAAATTGTGAGGCAAGGTGCCTTTATTTCTCTCATTTTTCCAGCAACTGTCATGCGTTTATTCTTCGTAAGTGGCTGTGATGACTATGAGAGCGGCCTGTGTTCCGCAGTGGTAGCCGCTGTTGATAAGAGGTAGCCTTGGAGGCCGCCTCTAGGAAGGAGAATCTCTTTTTCATCTCTCCTCTTTGGGAATAAGGGGAATTGAGAACAGGAAAACTCAAAGAAGAAGAAAACTCTCAGAGAGCCCCTTCAATACAAAAATTTGCAGTCTGCCACTTTGCAAGAGAAAAAAAAAAAAAAGCTGGTATTGTCCCATGAAATTAGCAAGAAAAGGAATACTGCACAAAAGGTGGTTTGCCTCGATCGCGTCCCATTTCTTTAATCATTCGGAAATGGCTCCATGTCCTGACTATGACTCTTGTAAATACAACGCAGTGCAAACCCGTCGGTCCCTCTGAAAGAAGCGAAAGGCTGTTAAAAGCATCCGAGGAAGCCGGCTTTGAATCACCAGTCACTGTCGATTCCACATGAGGGGCCTGAGCTGGTATTGCTACCTTCCCCATCCATGCTGCCGCTAGAGATGTAAATAACACATCCCATTCTCTGCAAAGACTTTTTTTTTTATCAAGGTTGATCTATAGTTATGTGAGCACAGCACATTATAGATTGAACCAAAATTAAAATTTTTGATGTGTAATTCTCTAGTAGACGGGACTATACTGTGTTCAAACATTTTAAGGGAATTTAAACAAGAGAAGAAATGTATCTCCCGGTAAATGTTTGTTGCAATCATCATTCCTTTTTAAAATATTTAAATCTATCTTAAGAACTTTGGTTTTGCATTTATATCTGATTGTTTTTGTGTTCTCTTGAGTTAGCACCTCTCCGTGGTCTGACTTTTAAAGGTACACGAACACACGTCACTAGTTTATGATGTTGATTTAAATCCCCTTTTATTCATAAGAATTTGCTGTGACAGGTAGGATTTTTGTGATTGGCGCAAACTGCAAAAACCCTGAAGAGAGTGTCTCTGTCAATTCCAAGGGATTTGGATGAGATTATAACCCTGCGCCCTGTGGCCGGAGCATTACTGGTTTCACAGGACTGTCACTGTGGACCTGTAGGAGCCACCCGTAGGAGCACACAGGCCAAAGACAGAGAAACAAATTGGCTCCTATTACTTGTATTTTATACCGATGACACAAGACAGGCTAGTTGTGCTGTTTGCCCCACCTGCCCGTCTGTGTTGCTTAATTTCTGTGGCTTGAATGGGAGCACAGAGGTCGCCTTCCAGGTACCACCCCGCCATTGGCTGCCCAGTCTTGTGGAGCAGCCCCTCTGTGCCCTCCACCCTCCCCTCCCGCCTCCCCTCTGTACCCTCCATCCTCCTCTCCTGCTTCCCCTCTAGACCCTCCCCTCCAGCCTCCCCTC